TAGGGGAGATCACCCTGTAGAGTGCCTATAGCTTCCTGGGCAGTTTACAAATTGTTAAAAAACATTAATACAAGAAAACAACACAAAACAAAAAAGAACAAAGTTGGCAGAGATAATAATCCCAGATGGGAACAAAGAAGAGAGAGAGAGAGAGAGAGAGAGAGAATATGAGAATGAATGATTAGAAAATAAATATTTACAGGGGAAAGACTTTGTATTAATGACTATCAAGAACCAAATCAGAGTGCTGAACCCTATGCTCACACACTCTTTCATTTCTTATGTTGGTTGCTTCAGCAAGATGTCAGTATGAGAAGATGGATGGAAACAGAGACAAGTCATAGATTCAAAGAAATTGAATATTTTCCAATACCTCTTCCCTTATTGAAAGAAAGCCACTCTCTCCCCTACACACACTGTAAGGAAATGAATCTTCAGCTATTAGCCCAGGCTATTGTAAAATGGGCTTACCTGATCCAGGACATCATATGAGGCATTTTTCATAATAGCTTTGAGACACTGAATTGGCTTGAAATTGCCTCAGATGGGTTGGTCATTCCATTAGTTGACCTTTTGTTTACTAGCCCATTACTTACTTGCACACCAGCAGAAACCACCTTCTGTAATATTGGGTAGCACATTCATATTAAGTCCAGCCAGGACACTCCATCATTGCCTTCTCTAGTGAAATGAAGGACTCATTCAGGTGCAGTTTTGATGCCCTGGCTCCCTGGTTTTTTTAATCCTGCTCCCCCCCCCAACTTTGGAGTGGCACATCTGGATGGAGAGGAGCAGGGGGTGTTCCTAATCTTGATAATATAAAACAATGGTGTTGGTTCCCCCACTTCTCCTTTATGCAGATCAATATACTGTCATCAAACCCTTTTGGGGGACCACTATGTAAGTCATGTACCATGACAGCGTGAATCTCCCATGTTGACTACAGTGGGGCCAAATTAAAGGAAAAACTAAAGAAAAAAACGAAAACATTTTAAATGGCCAATCACTACCATCTCACAAAATCCTGGGCCCAAATGCCAGAATGGGCAATCTTGAGAGATTTCAGCCATGATTAATGCACTTTTATTTAGTGTCCACAGCTCAAAGATGCAATACTCCTGTGGATCAGAGATTGAGAACTACTGGTCAACAATACAGCCAATAAGCTTTCTATTGTACCTGCCTCCTCCACTGTAATTCCTAAACTGTTCTAGTTTACCAGGATGTTGCAAGTATTATTTGAGTTAATCAACTTGCAACACTCGGTGCCCTTAAGTAACGAAACAGTCTGGCTTTTCCTGCTAATACCAAGCCTCCATATAGGAAGCCATTAAGTAATCTGTATAATCCACCTTTGAGGCGTAAATTAAACAATGGGATTGAGATGGGGTTGAAAAACCCTTTAGTTTTTAGCCCCTCTTCTTTGTTCTGGAACTTCTTCGGTCATATTTATCTACACATATATTAAAGAGAATGCTAACAGTATTCCTGCCAAACTAGCTTCAGGTTTTAATCCGGCCCTTTCCAGTCTGAGATTGAACTTGATTTTTTTCTTGTTTTTATTTACAAAGTCTGTTTTGTTACGCCTTGCCAACTAATCTATTGCAGATACACAACTAAATATATGCAACTACTTAAGAAGGTTCACGTTTTCCAATCCCTCCCTTCCACGCCCAGGTTGGTTTTCCCAGATCAGCAACAGGTTGTGTACTCACCTGAGATGACGGTATCTCCATTGAGGTACAAAGCCATCCCCAGGAGCATCAGAATGCCAAAGGTCAAGATAAAAGGTCTTCGTTTGCCCCACCTAGAAGTGCAGTGGTCGCTGGCTGAACCCACCACCGGCTGCAGCAGGAAACCCAGGATGGGGCTGATGAGCCATACAAAGCTATAAAGGCTTTTGGGGAGCCCCACAGTCAGCAACACAGGAGTGACAAAGGCAGCTTCAACCGCGTAGCAGAATTCCCGGCCAAACATGATCATGCTGTGCATAACCAACTGCCCTGTTCTCTTCTTGGAGGGCTCCCCTGCCTCAAAGGGATCTCCCCCAGCTAAGGACTCCAACATGGTTTCTTCTTTTCCACTGATGGGTTCCACTCTGGCAAGGCCTGAATCGTGGGAGTGCAGGATCTTGACTATTATCCTGCTTGGTTAGAGTCATTGGGCTGGTATCGAGGAGGCTGTTCCATCGGGCATAAATCCTGGGTCAGGGTGCAGCAAAGGAAAGAGCATGCATATTTCCCATAGCTCTGGAATCACAAGTTACAGAGAGGGGGCGTGGAAGGGGAAATGCGCCTGCATCTCTAAAAGAAGATTAGCACAGTTAGAGCCCCTGGCTGGAAAGCACCCAGCTCTTTATCATGGAGGATTATTGCCAAGATGAAAAAAAAGTGTATCACATGTCTATAATCTTCACATGGCAGGGCTCAAAGTTAGTTTGAAGGCATGTTTATTTTTATGCCAGAAAATAGATTAATAGGCTGCTTCTTCTGATACAGCAAGTAGTCAGGATGCTAATGTAGCTGTCAATGCTGTCAATAGGAAAAGAAAAAAATCTCTTCTATGCCTCTCTTTTAGATAATAAAGTGCCAGGCAACCTTCCTGGGGGGAAAAACATAGCATGAGATCTACTAGTCTTCCAGGGGGCAGATGGTCCTGTTTTAATGCTCAGGTTTTGCTTCCTTGTGTTGCAATGGTCTATGAATGTTTGAGACGGTTTTCTTGGATGGAGAGGAAGAGAAAGCTTCGTTCAGCTTACAATTATATTAAATCTGTTTGGACTGATGACACTCCAAGTCTACGTGGCTTATTCATGTTTAACCATCACAAAGAGTTGAAAATAAGTGGTCTACAAATCAGAACAACAGGATCTCTAGCTAGAAACTTTATTTAAAATACGAAGGAGAAGACCACACTCAAGACTGAGTTAGAATTGGACCTGAATCTGAATGATCTACCAAGTCTTTTCCCTGGACTTGGGCCAAATCTCCATCATAAAACCTCAATGTCTCACCTGAAACCTCAGCTTCTCAACTGAGTATCAAATTACTCTATAAAGGCTATGAGGTTCAATACAACAAGGGCTGCAAGACACTCTGCAGATTAAGACTATGGTTCTGTGCACAATTACTTGGGGGAATGTCCCACAGAATTTGAAACAAATGCGTGCTCAAATTAGAGACAAGGTTGCCCAAAATTGAGATGCAGGCTTGATCATTAGCTATTGTCTGCATAGTTTTTTCCAACAGGTTTATTGCCTTTAGTTTTTGTAGACAATTATTCTTCAAACTGGAAAGCTGCAGCAGAAGAAAAACTTGTATGTAAGATGCCAGATGCATTTTTAATATCTCTGGGATGCGAACAGGTCAAATGAACATTCTCTCAAAGATTAAATAATGGAGAGCATCAAACTGAAATCAATAGCTTGTCACAGAGCAATAGAACTTGTTACGAAAGACATTTGGGAGCCGTTAAAACTATATAAATACTTTTTTCTTTCCCAGAATGAAAAAAGCATTTTTCTGGGCCAGGCACAACATCTTTCCCTCTGTACTTTTACAGTGTAGATATTCTAGTGGATCCAAGGAGAAAGGAATAGTTCAACTATGTTGCATCTTCTCTAAGGATATTCAGGATAGTTATAATCTTACCCCTGCTGCATCAGTTCCCAGGAAGAACTGGTAATTATGTGAATTTTCTTCTCAAATATGAAATTATCACCTGTGTGGCAGCCACAATGAAAACGCAGTGGCTGATGCAAGGTTGAAGAGTGTTCATTTTTCCTTTTTAATTATGTGTTTTTGTAATTTCCTGATTGTTAATCAAATAAAATTTGATTAAAAAATCACGCACACACTTAGGGGCTGATTTCTAAAGTGCAACATTGCAGTGCTTTGCATCCAAAGGAGAAAAGGTACATAGGAACACATATAGCACCTGTTGGCAACTCCTTAAACTAAATACACCTTTTCCTGGGGTCATGCAGCTTATTTATTACCAGCATTTATGGACTGCCCGAGTCTGATGGGAACACTTATGCTTGTTCTGAAGCACTTTTTCCCTTTCAAGGCACTACACAACATCTAGCACATAACTGGAGCAGAGTGATGGCCTTCGAAGAAGATAAGAAAAAGTGACTCAGCCAAGGAGTGAGTGGAAACACAGCACAAAAACCAATTTCGGGCACATGATGTGAAGACCCAGCTCTCTGGAAAAGCCTCTAATGCTGGGAAAAGTGGAAGGAAGGGAAAGACAATGACAACCAGCGGCAAGGGGATGGGCTCAGTTGCAGTGATGGATACACTGTTGGAAGACTGGGGCATGCAAAAACACCATTAGCACCATCACAAATATAAATAAATGGAGTCCTGCTAATTGCCCCACAAAGATGAACACTCCCAGACCCTTCCAGATCATTCCCACCAATATTATGCCTTTTTAGATAAAGAAGAGTACTACTGGATGTGTAGCAGTAGAGCCTTTAAAATCCTCTCCGGAGAGTTCCTAGGAAACTGCACCCTACGATACATCCTCCCAGATATCACCATTCATGGTGACATTAGTGGCCCTCAACAACATCATCTGATTCCCCAGAGTGCAGACAGCATACCTAAGAACCCACTAGATCTTGGGGAGGCCTCTGTCTTCAGGAGCGGGGGATCCCTTTGTCTGGCTGGGGAAAGCCAAACTTGAGCAGGCCATGATAAATGTCTCGGCAGAACTAGGAAAGTTGTTCTGTGCTACTGATGTGTCATGCAGGAGGCAGCAGAAAAGGCCTGGGCACACAGGGATGGACAAGAGGTTCACCTTGGACTATTTGCTGGCCTCATAATGAGGTGTCTGTGAACCAGTGAACTCCTCCTGCTGGATGTGGATAAACGAACGCAACAAGATTGAAACCAACATTGACATCTTCTGTTAAAATGCCGCCCTTATGCCTACGATCTCTCAGGCTCAAACACTGGATATTGACAGCTGGGCCAAGAAAGCGCTGCTGCTATGTCTGTCTCAAGCATGGCGCTCCCTGCTGTAATGCTAACATCTGTCTGCCACAGCTGGCCCAGGCAGGCAAATGGTCATCATACTATTGCAATACCATCTCTCAGCATACCTCGCATGTCTCTTTGGACAAATTAAGAACTGGGGGATCGTAGAGGCAAAGTTGATCCTTTTGTGACATTACAATTAATCCACATAATTGTTGTAATTTTATGCATTTATTTTATTAGTTCAGTCCCCTGTATAAATTGAGATCCTGAATGGTTTATCTCCTGTCTCTGTTTGATATAAGGTCAGCCATAATAGGACAGTTATATTAAACCTGTTTGTTCTGCAGATATGCCAAGTCTATTCTTGTTTAACCCTTATGAAGATTTAAGTTAAACTGCATGCAAATCTCTCTGTTTCAAACCAACTCCTTGAGTTGTGACTGGCTTTGATTTACAAGCTTCCTGTCTTTACAAGGGCCGTCTCCTCAAGGATACCGATCAGAAATGACTTTACAGCTTCCCCATCCAAGGTGGGATGAGGCCAAAGGGTTAAAACAACAACAAATGCCAATTAGCACCCTCTCCTGGTTATTGTGAAGCTAAGTGGCCCCCTCTGTATTTCTCACCAGTTGTAAACTATTCCCATGACAAGATCACTTTTTGTGCCCCTTCTCCAGGAACCCTACCTAAGATCTGTTCCAATAACTTTCAGCACTCTTAGCTCTTGGGCTAGAAGTCCACTGATCCCTGCTGGCCAGTTTGGACCTCTGCAGTCACTACGACTTATTTCTTATGGTGAGTTTTTGCCACCACAATAGACATTTTATTAACACTATCTTTCAGTAATTACAGTACAAAATTACAAACCCTGAGTATTTGTAGGAATTCATTTTAAAAGGGTTGTTTAGAGTGCATAACAAATTATGAATGCAACTTCAGAAGGTTTAGATGAAATTGGACATATCCTGCTAGATTAAAGCATATGATTTGCCCAAGAAAGACTCTTGATCCGCTGAGTTTCACATTACAAGTTCGCTTTAGGACGATTTAATTCAATTACTTGGAGTGAACGGAGCTGTGAAATCTCTTCCCTGGAAAAACCATTCTCCAGGAGAACCTCTTCAGTGTGTTCTCCTACCACAGGATCCCTCTTGAGCGAAGGTGTAGCTGGAGTTCTGGACAAAAGGGGAGATGGTCTGGGACTTATTTCTCCCTGATCATTTTTAATAAAAGAACCACGCTGTTTGTTATGTGGATGTAAGGCAGCTTCATCAAAAGCCACCACTGGGGTCACACAGGCATCAGTATCATCAAAGACCTCACACCATTCCGCTTGGGATTTCTTCCTGAATACTTCTGCAAACATCTTCTTCATTTCAGGCCAGTGAGAGAAACTCATCTGACTGGGAAGTTTATGAAGATCCAGTCCCAAACCTAGAGATTTCAGAAATAAATATATAGTCCAATTTAATGAAACGATTTTTTGCCAGCAAGCTGTATTTACCAAATAGTATTTATTGGGGGCAACCAGGAATAAAAGGGCAGCAAATAAAAAAGGTAGAGTAGGAATATGAAAAAAAAGGTTACAAAATGCATGTTTTCCCATAAACATTGATGCCTGCTAACACAAAATCTGCCTACATGGCCATGATGCAGATGTTATTAATCTGACACAAGAGTCTTGGCTTAACAAAAAAATCCCAGGTTATTTCAATCATACATATTAACTAATTAACTTGCTCAAACACAAATTGCCGTGTTTCTCCAGAAAAATGTGGACATACCTATTAAAAAGATCAACTGTACTGTTTTAGGAAAGGATCTACTATAGTAAAAATCATGAAAGTCTCTTGGCATTTTAAGTATTCATAAATGTAATTCAGCTCAGAGGCTAAAGTTAAATTCTGTTAGATTTAAGGTAACACAGCAGGCAAAGGGGACTCTGGCATGTCACCCTAATGTTACTGTCAGGCATTAGTAAAGGAGAAGGTTTCTCAGATCACAACACTTTATTTCTCTGGGGAAAATGCAGAGTTTTTTTTGCGGGGGGCATAAAACTAGGTTTGGATTGGCTAGAGGAAAAAGCAGGAAACTTGGTAGAAGAACCTGAACCCATTTATAAAGAAAGTTCCTCATATTCTGTTAGACTTGATCAGTTTTCATAGCTGGCTGCTAATGACAGTTCTCCTTTACATGTTTGCTTATTAGGAACCAGTATTTCTGTTCTGCCTGCAGATCTTGGATGAGTAAAAGCTGAAAAGTGCTGCATGCCAGCTGGGAAAGATCATATAAAGCCAGAACTACCTCTCCAATATGGGAATTTCTTTTCCATTCCCCGAGGAAGAGATTTCAACAATCCAATGGGCCTGGGCAGGCCCTTTCTGGAACCATATAATTGCAGCCTAAAGCTTTTTTTCTTATTCAAAGCAGGAAAAACAATACAATAAAAGTCCTTTCCCACTGCTAGCTGGACCCAGAGTAGCCCACAGGCCCCAAGAGCTTCTTGTCAAATAGATACCACTGTATCTGCACGAGAGCCAATTCTTCTGCCCTAAAATGCTTCAATCTCAGCAAGTGGCAACAACTAGGCTGCCCTTCGCTTGGAAGCTAAGTAGCTTTGGACTGGTTAGAAGTTGGATGGGAGACCACCAAAGCTGTAGGCTGAAGTTGAGAAAACCACTTCCCTACCATGCCAAGAAAACTGCATTAAGATGACCAGGAAGTCACCAGGAGTCAAACTTGACTCAAAGACCTTCCTTTTTTAAATGCTTTCACAGAAGCTAAAAGATCCCAGAGTGGAATCTCTTGAGTTCCCCTGAAAAACAGGCACCCCCAGACTGTAGAAATGAAAGAGGAGACACAATGCTCTAACATTACAGGTAGTCCTCGACTTATTACCATTTGTTTAGTCACTGTTTGAAGTTACAATGCTGCTGAAAAAAGTGACTTACGACCAGTCCTCGCACTTATGACCGTCACAGTGTCCCCATGGTCACATGATCAAAATTCGGGCGCTTGGCAACCAGCATGTATTTACAACGGTTGCAATGTCCCAGGGTCACGTGATCGCTATTTGCAACCTTCCCAGCCACCTTCCAACAAGCAAAATCAATGGGGAAACATGCGATTCACTTAACGATCACAGTGATTCACTTAATGACCACCACAAAAGTGTTGTAAAATTGGATGCAGTCATGTGATGCCTTGCTTAATGACCACATCACTTAATGATGAATTTTCCTGTCCCTACTGTGGTAGTAAGTCAAGGACTACCTGTAATCTGCCCTCTGGAACCTGGATATTTTGTCGTTACATATCTCTTTGTAGCTTCAATCTAATCTCTTCTACCACTCCCCCCTCCAAAACAATTAATATGCACCATGTAGCTTTGTTCTTTAAAACTAATTCACTGAAGTCTTTACTTTGAAGAAAGAAACCAAAAAAGGACTCAGCATGTTAAGATTTGCAGGAAAAACAAAAACGTCAGCTGTATCACCAGTTGCTCTGAAGCCTAGCTGCGTAAAGCACAATAAATAAATGCATATACACACCCATTCATTTGCAAATTGCTTTATACTTTAGCAAGGCAATCTCTAAAGGGGATAATGCACTTAAAAGCAGGTTACTTCCCATACAGATACAGAATAAACATTTAACCTAAAAGTTACCATACCACAAAAAAAAACCCAAGTGCAAGTAATAAGCTTCTGAGCACATTTAGCAAGTCTGTACTTTTCCAAAATAATTTTCATTTATAAGCCAGTAATAATTTTCTCCAGTGTTTCATGTTGCACTGCTTCTAATAAAAGTATCCTCTGTTTATCTGTGATCCTGTTTTCTAGATTTTCTTCATAGCCAAAAGCGCCACAGACTTTTTTTTAACAATGCAACTGGAAATGTATAAAGTTTGTTCATTGAAAAGAGGTAGATTACCCAGAAAAAATAGCCAAGTTATTGGGAAAACCTGACTCAGCCAGAGTGGTTCAGCAGATAAAACAACTTCTAAAACTCACACAAGAAGCAACAATATACCAGCTGTAAGCTCACTGAATCCCAGTTCTAAGTTTCTCCATTGGTAAAAACAGGATATTTGCTGCACGCTCCACTGTGCAAAGAGCTGCTTATAATTCTACAAAAATGATTAATGTATTTTGGAAACATATGGCATCCATCCACAGTCTTTTGTGGTTCTTAAACAGATTCCTGGTACAGATTAACTCACCTCTGATGAACTTTTCATAAAAATGGGGTTCCAGTGCGCCGACCGCCATGAATTTCCCATCAGAGGTCTCGTATGTTTCATAAAATGGGGCCCCGCTGTCCAACAGGTTCTCCCCGCGTGCTCTGCTCCAGAAGCTCAAGTTTTGAGATTTCCACAGAAAAGAACTTAAGTACGCGACACCTTCTACCTTCAAGAGACAACACAAATCATATGCAGAGACACTGCCAATAGGAAAATAGCACGGCTCAATTAGATATTCTTTCTTGTGGGTGAAGCAAATGCCCTCATCTTTCCTCTTCTTTCCTCAGCATGAGAGGTCAAAAAAGCCAAGATGATGGCCATGGCTGCATGGCTGCCATCTTGACTTTTTTGACCCTAGGCATCCTGCTTCCCCAGCGTCTTCCTGAAATCCTAACAGCAAAGTTTGTAACTCTGGCATATGATGGTTTTGTTTTGTTTTTTCATATTTATCTCAGGGGGGGGGTTTTCCAGTTACTGCTTTTCTATTCTTTAGCTCTTTGTCTCCTTCTGTGGCCAATATCCTGCACGTGAGATACTCTCTTCACTCCCTGTATTCTGAAAGTAATTCCGTGTGGATCAGCAAAAGCCGAGGACAAACTGTATACAGACACTGTTGCTGAAGTAACACTATTAAGTCTCATTAAAACAACCCTACAACAGTTATAAAACTCTGTAACTGTACTGTAGATTCTCAGTACGCATATTGTACCTATTCTAACAAAAGTTAATACAGTTTAGCAACTAGTGAAGAAAAGTTGATGTAATGTCTCTCATTTCATTGCCAATGCCTTGAACGGATGCATAAAATACATGGATGTGACCGAGCTCAGCTTGGAGAAATTTTTATCCATCACCCAATTCAGAGAAGGTTTAAGGGCACTTTACCTCTGTACCTCTTATCAAGTTTAACTCCAGCTATTATTCTCAGGCTTTGTTAGCTCTATAAGGCAGGCCAGGTCAGGAAACAGACTATTACAAGAACTACTGACCCTCTATTGTTAAAGGGTATGATAATAGAATCTTGAAAGCCTGACAGAGATTCTCTTTCCCCACTCTTACACCAAAGCGAATCAAGGCGGGGCAATTCTGAGCTTCTTTCTCATTCACTCCTACCTTTCAGTGCTAAACTGCTGTCGAATTCCTTCTTCAAGGTTGTCTCCATACTCCTCTACAGGCTTTTAGAGATTCCCAGTAATGTGGATTAAAACTTGGAATATGTGGAATGTTTATTAGGGCAACACAGTAGTTCAGATTCCAAGACAAAAATGTGCTTTCTAGTACCTCTCTACAACTTCTTAAAGTGGCTGCATCTTTTTCCAAGGTTGTGCAACTCCCTACCACAGCTACCAGCTGATCCTGGGCAACAATGTATTTGGAGTGCATGGGGCATGAATGTAGCACTTGCCTGAAAATGGCTAAAACAGCCGTACCTTTTTCCAGGATCACACAGCTACTGTCACACAATCCCAGAAAAATACATGTTTGGTTTAAAAGATGCAGAAAGGTTATCTTTTACCATAAAGTACATTTTACCTTAGCATCTGAAGCACTGCACAGCCCTAAAGTTTATTCTATTCTTGCTGTCTACAGGTATCGTCAGCTGGAAGAACTCTCTGCCTGTGCACTTAGCTCTTGCAAACAACTTCATTATTTAAGGCGGACAGCCATATAAACTGAATGAATGAATAGAAACAAAACTCAGGGTAAAGCTAAAACAAGCAATATTAAGTGAAATCGTAACATTTCTTTTTGGCAGCAGACAAGATAAAAACAAGATACCTAGCTAGATTGGGTACCTAAAAGAAATTACTGCATTTGGCACAATCTTACATCTGCCTACTTGGAATTAAGACTCAAAGAATTCAATGTTCTTTATTCTCAAGTTACTGGATGCAGAAGTACTGCCTTCACATTAGATTAAAAAGTGCAGATGCCTGAGAATATAGGGAGTTTCCACTTTTTCTTTGCCCTTTTCCTTGATGCTACAGGCTCGGTGCTAAACTTTCCTTCAGTATCACAGCAGAAACCTAGGGACAACTTCACCCTTTGCAATGGGAAGCAATGCTTCCATTTTCACTAACTATAGCTTGTAGTGGTTCATCAGGAATTCAGGAGAGAACTACAGCATCACACAAAATAAAGTTCAGATGGAACTTGGACCAGGAAAAGTGTTTACGATTGAGGAGGTCAGATTCCTAAGACAGTTTCCTTTGTTCTTTTTCTGTAAATAAATAACAAAAAACTTACCATGCTTGCATCAATGATCTGTCCTTTACCAGATTTTGTACGTTCGTACAAGGCCACGATGATACCCATTGCACATAAGACTCCTCCGCCAGCAAAATCAGCCAGAATATTGGCAGGAGCATAAGGGTTTTCATTTTTTCTGCCAAGTTTAGACAAGACACCTATATACAACAAATATTCATTTTTTAAAAAATGCCCGGGCAGTATAGTATCTTTTTGTCTGTCCTTTTGAAATGCAAATGGAACTTCCAATTATGAAAGCCATTCTAATCCAACCTACTGTCATATAAATTTAGATAATTTAGATATATGTTCACAAAGAACAGTACACTGACAGGATTCCAAGAATGCTACTTTGTTGTTGTAGGGTGTAATGACAGAATCTCGAAAGCCTGCCCAATTTCCTCTGTGTCCTACCTTATACTGAACAAAATCAAGGCAGAGTTATTTTGAATTTCCTTTTCATGCTTCCTTCAATCTCTGGATGGCATGTTGGTTGGGGAATTCTGGGAGTTGAGGTCCATTCATCTTAAGGATGCCAAGTTTGGAAAACACTGATGTAATCTCTTCCCCAAGTCCCCCCAGATAGTTCATTCCTTCCACCCTGAAGATCTGCTCTAAATTCCTTTACAAAGAACCAGTCATATCAATCTTGGCAATCAATGGGATGACTGGTGCTGCAGCCAGACTGCCTTCACATCTAAGTTTTAATACTTTCTTTTCATTCATTCACATTCAATTGTCCATGAAAAGGAAGCTCCAAGAGAATGCAGGCCAGATCTCTTTAGATCTTTGGCAAATAATTGAGTTGAGGTCTTGCAGGAAAGAGATCAAAATTATAGCCAGGCTCTTTCCACTGACTTCTGCCAAAAGAATCACTTGCCTGATAAGCAGAATTATTTTCTAATTATCTGAATCTAAGTATCTTTTTTTCATTTAAAGAATATTCTTTTCAAGTTAACATTATCACCATTGCAATTCCATGAATGTTGACTTGGAAGTAAGTCCCACTGTGATCAATGGGTGTTTGTCTCAGAAAGCATCACTAGGAACAAAGTCTAAACTATATTTAGGAAGATTAACCAACATTTCATTTGCTCTTGCAAAACACTGTACTTTGGAGCAAAGTCCGTAACTCAGTTCTACACAGCAAAATTAAAGCAATTTATTTATTCATTAAAAGTATATCCCATCTTTCCTTCAGGAGTTCATGGGAATCTCCAATACATCCCTACAAGATCACCCCATGAATTAGGCTGGGCTGAGAGAGAGTAAGAATAACTGCCCCAAAGTCCCCTAGAGATTTTCCAAGACTGAAGGTGGTCTTGACCCCCGGTCTAGTCCAACCCCTTAACTACTATTCCAGGCTGACATCAAAATCTCTAGAATTGGCTTAATTTTTCCCATTGGCTAAATCAGTGTTTTTCAAACTTGGCAACTTGAAGATGAGTGGACTTCAACTCCCAGAATTCCCAAGCCAGCATAATGATCTTATGAAGATCATAATGATCTTATGAAAAAAATACCTGTTTTTGGTAACTATAAAGTCAAATTATACAATCACATACCTGATATTGCCAAATAGTTGATATCATGACCTGCCAAACTGGCGTATTTTCCTGATTGACCAAATCCTGTCAACCTGGCATAGATGAGTCTGGGATTATCCTGAAGGAGGATATCTGGACCAAGACCAAGTTTTTCCATGGCACCTGAACAGGGAAATGAAATATCCAACCTATGTAAAAACTAAAAATTAGATTGAGAGATATGTTGTACGCATGTTACACACATGGAATGTTGCTAAAAATGAAGGCAGAATCGCCATTTAGACACTGAGGTAATCCTCAGATCATGATGGCAATTTCCATCGCTAAGCAATGTGGTCGCAAAGCGTGATCCATGTGAGTGCATCGCTGAGCAACAGCAATCCAACAGTTGCTGTCGTAACTCAGAAACCACGGTCTGTAAGAGAAGACCTCACTTGACCAGAGTCCTAGCCAAGCAGGCTGGCGGGCAAGAGCTGCAGGTGGGTGGGCGAGTGCCACAGGCGGGCACTATGAGCACAGGTGGGCCAATGGGAGAAATTGCCACACTTTTCTATTGGGGAGCCACATTCAGCATTCCAAATTGCACGGCAGATATTAGCAAGACTGGTCAAATATAGAGTGGTCAAATTCAATGGCAGGTTTGCACACTAAGCTAAACGGTTTTTTTATTTGTAATTGTGTTTATGTATTTATTCTTTTTAATTGTTGTACGCCACCCAGAGTCACCTTGTGTGAGACGGACGGCTATATAAATATGTTATCTAAGTAAATAAATAAATAAATTTGTCTGACTTCAGCTTAGCTTATATGATGAACCCAGACAGAATTTATGCTTATCACAATGTGTGAACCCAACCAGAGCGATGTCAGTTCTATTTGCAGGTCCAGTCCTGTGGGTTAGATGACCTTGGCTAATCTCTGGTTGACCACCAGGAAATGCCACAAATATTAGCTACCCTGGGAAGTTTAAAAAAAAAAAAACACCCTTGAAGAAAGCATAGTAATTAGTGGAAGAGAGTATCTGTAGCTCAGGGTCAAAGGACTGGTGTCTTGGTGTCCTCTGAGCATGGCTGTTTTCCTGCTGATGTCTCATTACCTGGCTGGGTAATGTCATCAGTGCGAGGGAGAGTGGGCTTCGCAGCCCTTTGTATCTCCTACTGGGATGGAATGGAATTATGAAGGCCAGGCTCAGAGAGATAAACATTTTCTTAGCTCACCGGAGGAGCGTGGGAGCAACAAGAGGATGAGACTGGCACCTCCCTGAGGAATTCACACTGTTGTGGCTGGCTGACTTGGGAGCTGGGGCTTCAGTCTGGGAAGATTCTTGCA